ACTCGAAAGGGAGAACACTCGCCCTATTCCGCCAGCAACGGCGGTGGACTACGAAACGATCAAACAGAACACTGGGAACCGAGGACCGGGTTTGCGCTTTTGGCAGGTCTTTTCTTTTCTTTTCGTTCCTTTCGTTTCTTGTCTTTTCTGTTTTTTTCTTTTCTTTGCTTTTTTTTCTCTTTTCGTTTCGGTCCCAGTTTGTCAAACAGAAGTGAGCAAAACTAGGAAGACAAAACAAACGCAAAAAAAAAAAAAAAAAACGGAGCAAGAGAAAACAAGACGCAAGATCTGAGAAAATCAAATCGCCAAAGAAAAGTAAGGCATAAAACAAAACAAAACACATAAAACATAAAAAAATGGGAAGTGTCCCCGCAAGGCGCCGAATACACTAAGAAGAAACCGTGGGGACGGCTGACGGTAAAGAGTCAGCGGGAAGACGGATGCGGACGCTGATGTCTCCCAAAGGGCGGGAACGATGTTTCTCCATACACCGGGATCCACAGACGGCGTTTAAGGCGGTGGAATAGAGATCCTCAGGCAGGGGAAGAACGCTGGGGCCAGGATCATCGAGGAACCGAACAATGTAGGAGTCGCCCTGATGAGCCCCGATACGTCCCGTCCACCATAATCCGTCTCGAGCCTTGTACCACAGACTCGCTCCCACGGGTAAGGGCGAAGAACTGAAACGGCGAAGCCAGTCTCGTGAAGTACAAGATCGGCTCCCGGGGGCAGATAACGTTCTCCACGAGTCCGTGCGAGCTCCCGCTGTGCCGCGCGCGTCCGAGTGTTGCGGTAAGCGCGGTTACCCTGCTTGCTTTGGCTAATTTCCCGAGACCAATACAAAAGGATGTGTCGACGGGATTGCTCGAGGTCGGATTCACGTTCCCAGGATGGAGTAGCAAGCCCAATCCAATGCGTGTGATACAGGACAGCGAGGACGCCACTACGCCCACGCACCAGCTGGTGTCCCGAAATGTAGTCAACCTTCAGACGTCCCACCGGCGCCAACACATCATCTGGGGTGACATGAAACGGCGGACATTTATCTCCGAAAGAATGCAAAACATAGCGAGAGAGTTCTGCAGGCATGGACTGTGGCCGATCGTCCGTCTCATACGGGTTGCGACAGGGCTTGCAACGAAGAACAGACACCCTCGAACGAGCTGCTGGGCCCGAAAGATCAGAAGGAAGGTCAAGGTAGAGCAGTTTGTGAGCCAATGGGTGTCCGTCCGGGGTGTCTTTCGCAGAGGCTGGCCCCACAGCAAGTACGTTGTAGGGTCCCGTCCAGGAGAGCGCGAACTTGGCCTTGAGCACCTGTTGATCGGTGTCCTTGCGCGCACCTTGGCGAATCGTAGCAGCCGTGTTGTACACCCAAGCCCACGCTCCAACAGTAAACTTCGGAATCTTGTTGATGGCGTCCAGCATGGATGAATTGCGGCGTTCGACTCTCGAAATTTTCAGAGCGTTGTACTCTCGGACCAGGTCGTACGCTCGGCGTTGCCGATCTACTGCCAGGTTGCAATACTCGAGTTGATCACGGTCCAAGCTTTGATGACCACCGACTGAGGGATGATCGAAGACCGAAAGCGGAAGTCGCGGGATACGTCCCATGTGGATCTCGTTGGGCGCCAACCCAGTAGACTGGTTCACAGAATTGTTGTAGGCGAACTCAACGTGTGGGAGATGCACATCCCAGTCGTTTTGCTGTTCGTTGACCGCAACGGCAAGCATTTGGGCCATCGTGTGGTTGACGCGCTCCGTGCCCCCGTTGGTCTGCGGGTGGTAGGAGCTGGTGGTGACCTTCTTGATTTTCATCACCTCGTAGATAGCCATGGAGAGCTTCGAACAAAAATGAAGTCCGTTGTCCGACAACAGCGTAGTCGGGCATCCCCACTTGGTCATGTACTGGTTGACGAAGATGTTGGCCGTTCCCTTGGCCGTAAATTCAGCGGCTATCACATGGAACATGTCGGCTCTCCGGCTGAAGCGGTCGGTGAACAGCAAGATGTAAGAGTTGCCCTTGGCAGTCAATGGCAGAGGCCCAAAGAAGTCGACGCCGACGACAGTTCCAGGCCCTTGCGGCAGCGGCATAGCGATGATGGGCCACCGAGCAGTTTGGCGTGAAGTCTTGCGGGCTTGACACACTAGACACGATCGGAGCCACCAGCGCACGGAGCGATCCATACCAATCCACCAGTAAAAACGTTCGAGCAGCCGCTGTGTACGGTGAACACCCAAATGGAAGAACGCGTGGGTATGGCAAGCACGCAAAACCCACGGACGCATGAGCATCGGCACGTATACACGAGGGACTCCATTATTCGGCAAGCGAGTGGTCCTACCCCCAGAGCGTCCAACCGGCGACGGCGCTGATTTGTGCACGAGAAGAGTGACGTTGTCGTCGGTCGTGTGCAACCTGGCTTTCGCCGCCAGCGCCAACACGTCGTCTAATCGGGGAGAACGAAGTGTGGCAGCGAGGGTCAGCAAATCAGGGGGAGGTGGGGAGGGAGAGCCACGGGAAAGAAAACGCATGGCCGCCACACATTCGCTTTCTTGTTGCTGTTCCCGAGCCCAATCCACAGCTCTAAAACTCTGGACGCAGTCCCGCAGATGAGCAGTGTCTAAGGCGAGTGATTCCAAAAGATAGACAGGCGATCCGGCGGAAGGAGCGGCAGAAGATGATGTGTCGGCTGCAGAAGCAGCCGCAACCTCCACGCGCGACGACGGCGCCGCGGGAGACGAAAACGTGGGTGACACCTGTGAAGAAGGCGAAACCGGCGAAACAGAGCACGCTGAAGACGGTGATGATGACGAAGGTGCCGGTGGCGCGGAAACAGTCGACGAAGATGCCGACGCGAGCGTCGCGGATGGACGCGGCGAATGCGCGGTGACCCGG